TCCAACCGTAACCAGTCTTGACTTTTTTTTAAGCCGCCCAGGTAGAAGTTAACATCGTACATACATCGTTTTCAAACATGGCTCCTCGTTCATTGCTCGATTTACTTTTTCGTAAATGACAAACCGCAATGAAGCACAATTATTCTAGTTCAAAATTGTCACGAACACTTGGCACGCATGCTTACACTGTAGCGCACCTAACGTAATTTAAAAGTAGAACGAAAACGGGACGAGATTCGCTTACCGCTGCACGGAAACAGAGTCCTTCGGATCCTAGGCCTAACGGCCGAAATCGGAAGTCGCCTGCGGTCCGGCGATCGGACGAGTTGAGCCGGTAGCTGTGCTGACCCCGGCTGACCACGCCTGGTTGAACCATGAGAGGCGTCGTCGAGTTGAGAGCCAGAGACGCAGTAGAAACGGACCGTAAAACATCTGTCCCGTAAAACGCAGAAGGAGCCAGCGCCAAAACCGCTACGTCTGGCTGCGTCGCCATCTCCACGACGACCGGAAGCGTGTAAACCGGGACTGGCCGGGAAGTTAGAAAAGGCGCTGCAGCGGAAGCCACTGGGCGGAAGCTTTACGTTTCGGTTTCGCTTTTCTCCGACATCGGCCACGGTCGCGGGCTGGTATGTTTGCGGCTGGTTGCGACGACGCGAGGGGCCACGAAAAGACGCCCAGTTGGCCGAGTACGAATCACGGCCCACGATACGAGCAACGGGCCATTTGCCCCTGTCGACCGGCGATGCGGTATCCGCGGCTTAGTGTCACGATCGGTTTGTTGCCGTGCACGTTGACTCAAAGCTCGAAGTTATGCAGTTCCGTCAGTTCCGTTCCGGCACCAGCCGCACCACGTTTTCCGGTGCATCGCACGTGGAGGCCTTTCGACGCATTCAGTGAACGTAAAGATCGCGCCCGCTGTCTTCGGTGCTGTGGAAGAAGTTGGGAGACGGAAGAAGCATCAAAACCAAGGCGTTTAGGACTCCAGTCCGGGCCGCCGGTCCACTCTGAACGAGAGGCGACGTGTGTGTGCACGTTTTGAGGAAGCCTCCACGTTTCGCCGCGCCAGACCTCGCCGATCGCGACCAGACCCCGAGTCCGAGAGGCTCTTGCGCAGCCAGGAACGGCAGCGAGGTAGGAGCTGCTCGTTCTGCGCAACCATGCAGTGCTCTACAGTGATCGGAGCTCTCGGTGTCATGCGTGCTTGCACCGAAGCCTTTGTGACCCCTTCGGACGCGCAAGTCGTACTTCGCAAAGGTTTGGACGGGGCCGCCCTCACCGAGCAGCTCCGCTAAATTCCGCTTACTTATGATCGCAATAAAAGCTTGCGTTTGTTCTCGGGAAAAAAATTGCGGGACCGCTCTCCGCGCCGCCGACGAGGTTGGCCGCCACCATGTTCTCAGCTGTTCACTCGCTCCCGCAGCGAGCGCCTTCCGATAATCCTCCCCGTTCCAAAATGCGATGCGATCTTCGTTTACATGGGCTGAATGAATGCGCACTCGCCATCTCGATCCACCTCTGTCTAGCGACTTTAATGCGATGCGCTTTGCGCATTATGCCGTTTACATGACCGCATATTGAATGCGGCAACTGGATTCAATGCGACTAAGTCGCATTCTTGTAAACGCGGCTTATGTTATTTTTCGACATGTACGATGGATGTAACGATACCGGTGGTAAACGATGGACGTTTTTTTGGAAGATGGCGGTCGTCTTTCTGCATGTATGGTTTAGTTATACCGGTGGTCTTGTGGTATAGGCGTTTCGTTGGAAAGATGGCGGTCGCCTACGTCATCGGACGCAAAATCATACCAGCCATACCGAGTCATATCGGCGAGCAAACCGGCTGCCAGTATAGACAGACCCGGAGCCATAGCGGTGCCGGTATCTCCAGTTATGGAGAACGCAAAACCAAACTAGCTGCATGTATAATAACAATAAATTATGGTGGTGTCATACCAGGACTGTACAAGTAGCAGGTTTGTTTCTTGTACGTTTTTCCAATAGGGACCTGACCATATTGTAACCGAGAGATATCCCAGTTCATTTAAAAAGAAGTGCATCAATTTGTCTAACTGAACCTTGATTTGTAAAACGGCATCATAACAATAACATGCTAATAAGCATTTTTTTTGTGTGTGACATTTTTTTGTTGGTGTCTATTTTTTATGTTAAATTACTTTTTTCTCTTTTATTTTTGAATCCCCCCTGATGTAATGCGTCTTTGGATGCCTCTGATGCGAATAAAATTAAGTAAAACGAATGCCTCTGCATCATTTATCCAATTGTTACTTTAGGTCATTTCATCTGGTCCTACTACTTCGATTATTGTCATTTCATAGGGATTCTTTTTTTTTTATACAACTCCCATGTCGTTCAGAGATAATTACACCACCCAGTTTATCGCTTAAAAAGTAACACATCTGTCTCAAGACATCGCTTTCTTGTATTTCCCTACAATAATTGTAGGTTATAATAATTTTCCTGCGTTCCAAAATTGGTTCTTTCAATCACTCGGCGTTCACAGCTGTCATGTTAGCTCATAAAAAATAAATAGATCGAAAACCCGCGTTTCTACGACGTAAAAGCTACGCGCAAAGCCTTCAGCTCAGCTCTTTAGCGCGGCGCTCGTCAGCCTGCTGCCGTGACGTCACCGGAAGCGTGTGCTTTCCTTCCCCTCTAGGTGGTGTTGTACAGGCCCGCGTCCCCTCTCCCATTTTGAGTGTACGCAGGCTCTCCTCCTCCACCATTTCCGGGGAGAGGAGGAGAGCCCGCGCACACTCAGAATGGGAGAGGGAACGCGGGCCTGTACCTTCCCCTGCATCGCCATCCATCCATCCTCTGCTCCTTCCATAGAGATCATACATACTAACTCTAGAGGAAAAGGTTCTGGCTGCCGCAAGCGGCGGATCATGCAGGCAGACCCTCGGGGTCCCAAACACGGTTACATCATCAGAGCAGTTTCGTGAACTTCAACTATCCACGAACTTACCGGTGGAAAGATATTCGCGTTCCTTTCGAAGCTTTCTTTTTGCATAGCGCGCAGATGTACGGCCTCGCGTTAACGCTAAACTAAACCATATACCCGGCTTCGCCGGTGGGGCGCGGCTGGGCGCGGTTGAGGAATACGAAACTGCGCAACCACCAGATTTCTGAGATTTCGACAGAAAGGAAGTTAATGCAGCCTAATGACTTTATTGCTTTTTATAAGCGTTAGAATAGCTCATAATTTAGTTTACAACGTTAAATTATCCATAGTTTTGTTTAACCCGAGACTGGGGTATTTCGGAAAAGGGACGAGAAGAAAAGAGGCCACAAGGAGGCGACGTTTCAAACACAGCTAAGGATTTTATTCCATCGTATGCACTTTTATACACACCACGTCCACACACCACCAACCAAGTCAACCAATGACAACATACCACCCGGAATACACTAAGCCAAACATAGGCCCAAAACATTACAAACGAAAAATCTTTCAGCCAGACAAAAGGACAAGATAAGCCTCCGACCACACAAAGTCAACAAAGAACCGTTAAAAGTTTTTTTTTTTTTTTTTTAACCCCGCAAACACACGGAACCAAAGGGAAAGAGGGCATACAAGACCCAATTACACAAAGCCAAGCAACAAACCATTAAACTAGCCGGTACTTAGTCATCGCTGTTTATATTGCTGAGAGTTTTCACTCTTCGCGTTTTCCATGGCAACGTTGCTTTCTTTCTCTCGTGTTCTGGCGCTCTCTTTTGCGATCGTTCACTCGGGACCCCGGGTGTCGGCGCACGGGATTTGCCACTCCTCCTCACGCACCTTTACCCCCCTTGCTCCTTCGGAGCAGAGGATGGATGGATGGATGAATCCGGCTGAGCCCTTTGGATCGGGCGGTAGCTTACGCCACCTAGCCAATTTGTTTTATCATTTAAGCTTAGAATATTTAAATGTGAAATCTATATTCACTCCGTACTGCAAAGAAAGTGAGGCTATAAAAACCCCCTTGTCATCAGTTAATAAAAAATACCTAGTTTTCTCTGGCTTTCTGCCACCATTCACTTAATCTTTGCTTGGTAATCTCTACAGTCTTGAAATCCACTATCCCTTCGCTGTCTCTAAACCCAATGACTTTATTAAATCCATGTTGTCTTCGGTAGGCGTAGGGTGAAGCCCTTTACAGTAGAGTATCAAGTGCTCAGCCGTCTCGTCCTCCTCTCCACAAGCAGTGCACACTGTATCCATTTCCTGGTACTTCGATCTGTATGTTCTGGTTCGCAGAACACCTGTCCTCGCCTCAAACAACAATGAGCTTCCCCTAGAATTGTCATAAATGCTTTCTTTGGCAATAACTGTTTTGTTTAATCCATAGCTTTCCAGAGCCGTCTTTGTCTGCATTCCCTCTAGCCACCGATCACTTTCTGTGGCCTTAACTTTCTTCTCAACTGAGACTTGCCCTTCCGTATCTCCACCAAGGTATATGTATAGATGGTAGCGAAGCTTCCATAGAAGCCCATAGGCGCAAAGATGGCGGCTCATGGGGCGCAGCGCCATCTGTTAGTTGCGCGGCAGTGTCATTAGTCATGCTCGCCCGTGACGTACAGGAAGTGACGCTTTATTAAAAAGGAACAAAGAAACACGATATGACGCGTTTTCCTCAAGATTGTGACGTCACGATTGTTTTCGGCGCGAAATTTAAACGATTTTCGCCGGTGGCGCGAAATTTAAAGTTTTTCAGATGTTCTACATGCCTGCTACCGTCCTTCAAACATTGCTTCACGCCTAACTGCCTTGTTTGTATCAATCACTCCCATGTAATCCCTCTTCCAAAAGAACCAGTTTTTTATCAGTTCTGGGAACCACCAATAAGTTACTATCTTCTTCAACTAAGCAATGTGTTACAGCACGCCTATGAAGGCGTACTTATCATTGTAACAACGGCTTGTTCGCCAAGAAAGACAAGAAGGCACAAGCTTGGTTTACACACTTTATTATATACAAACTTACAACACCACCACTGAACACTTGAAGATAGATATGGCAATAAAAACGAAGTGAAATAGGGTCTCGACAACTCTATGCACGCACTTAATACTCTCAACGGGAGGCACGTTTACGCATTTATCTTGCACTGTTTACGTTGAGAGCTCGTAACTAGATTTAACTATATCAATCACAGGTGGAGGTGCGGAGCTATACATGTATTTTGCATTTGAATGTCCACATGAATTAATGTTTCAAGAGATTGAAAATTGAGACGTTTCGTTATAGCACATGCGCTCGTCACACAAACATTGTGCTCCACAGCTTGGCTGTTTATGTGAGGATTAGTACGCAGGAAACCGCCACAAAATGACAGGAAAGAAAGCATCAGAAAAAGGATAATAATTCGCTTTGTGGCAAATTGTTAGCACCATACTGACTCACTGATTTACCTTTCCTCGCAGTTTGATATACTTTTGTATACCTCACACAACCAAACATTAATCCAGGTTTATGTCTCAAGTCGTCGCACTGCACAAGGAAACATCGAGGTCAACGCTTGTTCTCACACACTCCTCAATAATGCACAAGGTGTGTAGGGTGTCTACCAACCTGGAAACTTAAAATATTTAAGTAAGGCGGATTATATTTAAAGAACAGGGTAATATAAAGGAAACCACAAAAGAGTTCCTAATTAGTAAAAATGATAAGCGAAAGTGGAACGGCAGCGTGCAACGAAGCCCGATGATTGCACAAGGATTTCACGGTGGTGCCGCTGCACTGAATAACGTTGCCCGACACGTCACTAGGCAGCGCAGGCCACTAGGCACTCCCTGAACCGAAGTAACGGTCAACATTTTATCGAAATAGAGAGGAAAACCTTGAGAAAATTGGGAAATTTGGAATAAGCGATTTGGTAGACACCCTGTCCCATCATTCAGTGAGCAACGTCATCTAGCACTATACAGCGAGCGTCGAATGAATCTAACATATTTTTGCTTAGAACGAAAAAATTAGTTTTGCATGCTGTGACACTGAAATTTTGATATTGATTCATTGAAAATTCAAGTTCATCTAGCTGAACCTATATGTTGATTGTAGCGTCTGAGCATGCGAAACAAACTTTTACACTTTATTTAAAGTATGCTAGATTCATTTGGTCATCGCAGTAGACAGTTTCGGCAAAGCGTGTGATAATTTAGAGGTATGTACTCGCACAATCCGGTGTGCCAGCGTGATCATTGAATGCAACACATAAGACAAACTAAAGGGACTTCCTGTGGGCATAAAGCAAGTGTTCTCATCTGCACAGCCTCTGGACTCGTTGCTGGGTTTTGCGTCTCACAGCTGCATCAAGGAGCCCAGTATTCTTTTTAGGGGCGAACCAATGAAGCCTCACCCTTGCAAACAAAGCAAATAAATCACCATAGACATCCTCACTGCAGAGTGTCAGCAGCTTTTAGACCTTCTCATGAAGAGTGATGCACAACGCCTTCCCAACGCCTTCTTTCAAAACAAGACTGTCAATTGACGCCACAAAAACCTTCTCACAAGCTTGAACGAAAGAAACAAAGCAAGGTGAAGTGACCGAGAGGCTTCCAAAGTCTCCTTCAGCCGTTCCTTTCACACTCAAATACAACAACACTTGGCTGTCATCAGAAAAAGTGTCATTCTTGATTTGCAATTCACATTGCTGAGTCACGTTTTGACATGTATGATATTTGACAAACCTTGTTACAAGCCATCCAGCAAAGTAAACCATGTTGTTAAGTGATAATAAAGTGGGATAACTACAGGATGTGAGGTCAGCTGCACATTGTGGAAGTGAGCTTCCTAGACTAAGTGAAGCTGAGGGAGCTGAGAAACCAACCGGAAGAGCCGCTAAAAGGGTTGCCATGTCCTCTTCGCAGTTGCTCTTGTCAGACAGTTTAAACAAGTTGCTAACTAGGAGATGCCTAAATGCTGCCTGAAACTGCCGGCAAGAGGAATTGGCGTTCGCACCAGACTTTGACCTTATTACGGAGAATGTGTTTTCGAGTGCATCTTGGTTGAGATGGCGAGTCAGAAGGTATCTGAAACCATACTCAGATGTCAGGTGCTCACAAATCAGCATAATAGACCGAATGGTCAAGGAGAAACCGCGAATGCAAGCAGGCTGCCGTGGGCACACAAGAACGGTAAGGCTTTCGAACATATGAAGGCATTCTTTCAGAAACTCCTTGTGAACAGAGCCTTCGTGAATTGCAGACACATATGCACTCTTCCCGCGTTTCTGTGAGCTGTTCAGGCTATCAAAAAGACGATCCATTTTTTTCAATAAACCGGGCCGTGTGGATAGCTTCAACTGGCAGTTGCTGGGAAGCTACCATGGCAAACATTGCAGCAGCACAGTGATTACTGAATATTTGCGCTGCTAGTTTCACTGACATTTTGGAGGCAAAATTAAAATTAAAATGCTTCTCACTGAGCCTTGGCATGGATCGGATTTCAGGCTGTTTGTCTTTTTCGTAAGCTTCCCCGAGGAAAGAGCTTCTCAACGTGTGGTCCCCAATTTGAAAATTGTACTTGAAGAACATATTTCGTAAGCACTTCAGCAGATGTGGAACATCAAATAAAGAAAAAGTGGCTTCTCATTCACATTTACGTAGGGCTTCTCAGATGTAACAAGGCCATTAAAAAGAGCAACATTTTGATTGTCTTGGTCACATACGACAGCTACTGGCTCCAGGCCGGCTTTCACAAGCAAATTGTGGCACTGGAAAAGAAGGTCACGCAAAATGTTGGCATGTGTTCCCCCATGAGCAAAAAAATAGACAAGTGGCTGCTTCCATGGCGTGCGAATGCCTTTAGCCATAAACACAAGAGCTTTGTTTGCAAGGTTATGGCCTCTTCCAGTGTTACGTTCTTCGAGCCCTTCAAACCTGTCCACAGAGGGGTTGTACGAGAGCTCTTTCGTGACGTGCATCTCGTCAAAGGCAATAATGCATGGCTTGTCTTCTGGTGAAAAAGTAGCTGCAGGTTTTTTGACTAGTTCGAAAACTTCTGGGTAAAAGCCAACCCTCAGGGGAACACGCTGAAGCCAAAGCTGTAACGACCTTACCTTAACAATTGCCTACAGTACCGGTAACCCTTAGGGCTTAAAAGTACAAGCCCAAGGCAAATTCTTTGTTCTGGCTGCACCACCGCCTGCCGAACCTGCTCGCATTGGTCATCTTCAGCTGAGCTTCCACAAGGGCAGCAACGGCTGGAGAGACAAGGCTACGTACACTTTCAACTATCTCAGTGACAGTCAGCATATGACGCCGTCGCTGCAGTCGTTGCTGGAGTCTCTTGTTATGTGTCCTAAGCTGTCGAAGTCTGGCCCTCAACACGTCCATCTTCCCCTTGCCCTCGGTGCGGGTGGCACAGGACCCTGCAAGGGGAAAGCAAAAGCAATTATGAAACATTTCGAGAAATAATGAAATAAACAATGTGCCGCCACTGCAGAAAATGTGGAAGTACAAGTCAACTTTGTGCATCATGACGGACACCTACGTTGGTGAGGAACCGCAGAAGTCGAAGACACCGACGCATCATAATCGGTAGGGGAAGGTTCAGGTACCCCCACATCGTTTCCTCCAGACGGCGGGCCATGTCCATCCATCGCGCCTTGCATCGAGTATGTGTGATCCACTACAAGAAACAAAACAAAGGAAACAAAGTGACAGAGTGGTTGCAAAAAGCTGAACCAGCTATGACTGGTCAAGTACTACGCAACAAAGTAATCTTCAAAGACTGTCCTAAACAACGCACACTATGAAAACTTACCATGAACTCTGGTTGGAGGGCTAGTCTTCGTGCCAGAGGTCAGAGCCGTGAGACTGCTCCCCACATCTGCAAAGCAATGACGAGGCAATTAAAAAATCTGTCAAAAACATCAGTCATTGTATTGTTTCAGGAAATTCCTGCGGCATGTGACAAGCTGTAGCCCGTTGCAACCTAAGAACGAAGGGCGAGGGTAGGACGGGCCGGGGAGGAGGAAGCAAACGGAACGCTGGAGAAGAGAGAGGAAAACCTCCCTCTCTCTTTAGCGTTCCGTCTGCTTCCTCCTCCCCGGCCCGTCTTACCCTCGCCCTTCGTTCTCAGGTTGCTGTGGACTATAGATTAAAATTATGGTCATACATGTTTTACATGTTTCCCAAAGATGGCTACTACACGACAGTCCGAAATATACAAGAAACAAGGTCTGCAACACTTCTCCGCCAATATGCAATTGCTTTTACCTTCTTCTGTAGTGTGGTGCGTGTGACACCGTGATGATGTGTGCCCATCGGTGCTACTGCTGCAGGCCAGTGTGGGCTCGCCCTCGCTAATCAATTGGCCAGGGCTGCTGCTCTGTACGGCATCTCCAGCACCTATGCAAAGTTAAGCACACACGTTATGTACACTGAAACAGTTCCCTGTATCTGCATGTAAAATACTTTCTGAATAAGCTTACTGTCTCAGTAATAATGAAAACAATATTTCGTGCTCACCCTCAGTGGTCAAATATGCTGGTATTGCATCACGACGCAGCCTTTCTCGGTAAAGAAATGCAGAGGGTTTGAAGTGCCTGGAGCATACCGCCCGTTCCCGCAGCTGCTGTGGCGTCTTGTTCCGTAGGCTTGTGTTCCGGCAGAACTCAACCCAGACCCTCCGCCTGAATGTGAAGCAGTGTATTACTTTACATACCCTTGGCTAAAGTGGACACTTAAGAAAGAAACAAGATTACACAATAATGTTCGCGATAAACTAGTGACATCATTGTACTTGGTCTCCCGTCTGGGTCCAGCGAACGCCACGAGCGCGGAGCACACCTCTGTGCCCGTGAGGTTAGATAGGTCCACAACGCAGACGATTACATTACTAGATTCCCGAGCACGACATCCACAGCAAGTAGACCTGATAATCGCCAGCATGTTAGAGGGACGACACCAAACACGTTTCAACCAGAAAGGACGTTTTAGTGTTATTCACACCATATTATAAAAGTTCGTTAAAACTGAAATGTTCAGTCATTGTTTCTTATTAGGTTTTTGGGGTCACGCAGTCGTTCAGCAGAGGTCAAGCAAAGCCGCCACTAATATCTAAGATTAGTTTCGTCTCGCGAAGCTTGGAACGGAGACTGGGCCCAAAAAAGCTCGATCAACGGGTGCTTATTACTAAATGAGCATGCATGAGGGCCCATAGAAGAGGTCAAGAGTTTACCAGACATCACCGGACAACGGACATCAGGACATCACACATATTTGCAGCGGACACAACTGCTACAAGCTTCACCTTGCAGCGTTTACAGGAAAACGATGAAGTGATGCCAGCGGTGCAGTCATCACTTGGGCATCGCGCTACCGCGCAGCGCCTCTTTACATGGGGCAGGCGCATCGTCCCGACGACAGAGCCTTGAACGCGCCCGTCGGGCGCTCGACGACAAAAGCAACAGAACGGCGCAATAGGATTCAACTAGTACAGACCGTTCGTGGGAAAACTTAAGACCGCGAAGTCGTTTTAAACGATTGCAAAGTGAATGTTCGACGGGAGCTACAGAAATATAGGCACACTGGCGAAAGCAAACAATGCAAACACGAGGCGTATCAGGACTGCGAACTTCTGCCGACGGCGAAAAATAGCGACGTTGTAGATGTCGCAACAAGTATGCACAACATAATACATATTGAACATAACCTGAAAAATTCACCACTCTAAACATGTTTAAACTAAGTTATTATTAACAAATAATACTTTGATTTAAAGTCAACTATATATAAGACACCGAAAGTGTGTCTTTAATATTTTATCAGCTTAGTGTTTGGCCGCGCAAAACATAGTCGTACTGCGGTAGCGCGGCCTCCAGGGTGATGACGCTGACGATTGGTTTTGGGCCGCTTTTTGCTCCACTTTCGCGACCTATATGAATTGACCTTGTCTCCACTATAGCCTAAAAACTTTCCTCTTAATTTCCTAGTGCGCTGTCTCCACTTTGTGTCTATACTCCTCGTGTATAAATAGCTGAACACCTTTTGTGCCCATTGTTATCCATCCATTTGCCTTAACCGATCCTCAAATTCTATCTTGCTCCCCGCTTCCCTGCTCTCAAAAGACGCCCATCCCATATCTCCTTGTACTCCCTGGTTTGGCGTTTTGCAATGTGCCCCCAAAGCCAGCCTACCTACTCCGCGCTGTTTTATCTCTAGTCTTGCATGCACTTCGGATTTCATGCATAGCACTGCGTTTCCAAAAGTCAAGCCAGGCACCATGACCCCTTTCCAAATCTCTCTCACCACCTCATACCAGTTGTAATTCCAAAGTGCTGTATTTTTCATTACAGCTGCATTTCTGTTGCCCTTGCCTATTATATACTTTTCATGCTCACTGAGATATTCTGCACCATCACATATCCATACTCCTGATACTTGTATTTACTAGCTCTCTCAACTGTAATATTCTGTATCTTCAGCCTCTCAACTTCATCATCGTTAAAAATCATGACTGCTGATTTTTCACTACTGAATTCTAAACCTAATTCCTCTCCTTCCCTACCACAGATGCTCATTAATTCCTGCAACTCTGTCCTGTTAGCCATTAGTACGATATCATCCACATACATCAATCCCGGTAAGGGTTGCTGAATTTTTTGGCCTAGCTTACTGTACGAAAGGTCGAATCCAATCCCACTCTTCTCTAGTTTATCCTCCAATCCTAACATAAACAACAAAGGCGATAACGGGCACCCCTGCTTAAGGCCTCGTCTTATCTCTATTTTCCCTGTCGCCTTTCCTTCCCATGTTATAATCACCTTATTATCTTTGTAAATGTTCCTTAATAGTGTTGTTAGTCCATCATCTAGGTTTAAGCTTTCCACTATGTTCCACAGGTTCCTTTGGCTCACATTGCCATAGGCACCCTTGATATCCAGAAATGCCAGCCAGAGCTGTCTGTTTTCTTTTCGCGGTCTTTCTATACACTGTGTTAGAGGAAATAAATTGTCCTCCAACTTTCTTTGTTTCCGAAACCCGTTCTGTAACTCGCCCAGTATGCCCTCGCAATCTACCCATTCCTCCAGCCTGTTCTTTATAATCTGCATTACCAACCTGTAAATAACTGGTGTCACAGTTATGGGACGATAATTCCTAACATCAGACTTATCTCCCTTTTCCTTGTATATCATACTCATCCTACTAAGCCTCCATTCATCTGGAATATTTCCTTTTGTTATCATGGTGCTCACTACCTCCCTTAGTTTTTCCTTAGATTTAGGACCCAAATTCTTCACCAGCTTGATTGGGATACCATCTGTGCCTGTCGACGTGCCACTTGCTCTTCGTTCCGCCTTTTCCCATTCTCTTTGTCCAAAATCCGCGATGTCACAAGCTGGACTTCTACCTCCTTCGGTTCTCCTGTATTCCACATGTACCCGTTCCCGACATTTCTCCTTCATCACTGCTCCTATATATCGTATTGCATCATCTCCCTCTAGTTGATCTCCCTGATGCGAGAGTACGAACCTCTGTCTAGCTTGCGTCGTTTCACCGCGTGAGTTCAAGTGCTCCCAAAACTTCTTGGCTGCGTTTCTATCTTTCTTACTTACATTACTCATCCATTCCTCACCTTTTCTCTGAATTTTTGCATTGATCAAACTGGAGGCCTCTCGGCGACATGTTCTAAAATTGTCCCATTTTCTTTTTAGTTCCGTTTCTGGCTCCCCACTACGCTTGGAATACATGTGTTCTCTAGAGGCATCCTGACGTTTTTGTATCGCTTGCTTCACTTCTTTGTCCCACCAGCTTTTTAGTCTATGTCCTTTATTCCCCTTTCGTTTACTCTGAACTTTGTCTAGCTCCAGAGCAAAAAGCCTAGTTAGGCTCTGATAGGTCCTATCTGTATAACGTTGCCCTGAAACTGCTTCCTCTATTCTTTCAGCAACTACTTCCTACTCTTTGACGCTGCAGAAAGTTTGCTTTGAATTATGTTGTCTAGTTTCAGCATTTACTTCTCTGGCAAAATTCAGCTTAATACGTTTGTGATGACTACCAAGACTTTTAGAACCTTCTTCATCTATTTTCATTACTTGTAACTTACCATATATTTTGTGTGACATGAGTACGTAATCTATAGTTGAATGTAGTGTGGGGGGCCGCGAGGCCCTGCCACGTTATTTAAAGTGAGGACATAGAACGAGACAAGCGAACGACGTGTCTGCCTGTGATGGCGGCTTCAGAGCATTCCCTTGCACGCGCTCTACGAGGCGCGTGCGCGTGCTGCGCCTCAAGCCATCTCTTTTATTTTCATGAGAAGAATGGATCTGTGGGTGCGTTGCACCCTACAGATATTTTCTTATATCCTGACCTAATGCAACTCGGTAGGGATGATTATCCCGTCACACTTCTGACCGGTATTACATAAAACTATGTCATTTTTTCCACCAGTTCTAGTAATATGCTTCCGGTCGAGTCCGTATACCCATCCAGACCCTCAGTATGGGCATTCATGTCTCCCATAATAATTATTTCAGAGCCTTCCCCTAGCTCACTAATGTCTCTTGATATGCAATCAATCATTTTTCTGTTTTCCTCTTTAGCACCTGTCCCTGTCCATAAGTAAACCACTCCAAGGACTGATGATTCCCCCGCGACTTTTCCTTTCAGCCACAAACGTTCGGCGCACTCCTTTCTGATCCTTTGAAAGTTCATATTCTTCTTAATAAATGCTGCAATTCCACCTGCCTTCCTAGTTCCCCCCATTCTGTTGCATTGTTCCCACACATAGTCAGGGTTGCAAGGTGGCTTCTCCATGTCGCTGAGATGTGTTTCCACAAACCCATACACCATTAAATCCTCCTTTCTTAGTTGCTCCTCTACCTGTTCCCATTTTAACCTATTTCTACCACCCTGCATGTTAATATATCGAATGTCTGATTGTGCTCTTTGTTTATACCTGTTCTTACGTTTTCTCCTCTTTTTAAACCTGGGTGCCTCTCCTGACTTTGTTGGGTTTTCAGTTGCTTGAGTGCCCCCAGGGCCCTCGGTCCCCCCAAAAAAGCAGTCACCATGCGGCCCATCCTATCCCCCACCCTGTAACCCGTGGCCTCACTGCAGTGAATGCCATCTGCAAAAGGGCGGGAGCCAGCCTCGTACACTTCCCTGTTTACTTCCATTACGTCTTACCGAAGCTGTCGACTCATACATACCCTTAATTACTCTGTTGGCTTTGACAACCCTCCTCTCCGTTACCCCAGACTGCCCCCGAACTTCTGGAATGGTGCACACAACCACGTGCACATTCTTAGACACGTCCCTCAGCTTACGTATTCCCACGTTTAGCTGCTTTCCGAGGCTCTGGCTCCTACCCTTGAGCACATCATTAAGCCCCGCATGAACTATTACTAGGTTCCTCCCCTCCCGGTTATCCCATACCCCCTCACGTGCTGCGGTCATAGCATCCACCATACACTTCCCTGGCTGGACCTCTACGGTTACCCTCTGGTCTCCCTTAACCCTGTTATGTACACCCCTCTTAACCCGTGCTACGTTAGAGCTCCCCACTACCAGTACACTAGATCCCCCTGGTACCTGCGTGCCCTTGTCCTGCGACTTATCTCGTGTTACCTGACTGCCCGACGCCTGCTGCTCGAAGGCGCCATTGAGCTGAGTGTCACTCAGCTCTCCAGCGTCGTCGAGCCCGCCAGCCAGCAGGCTGGACTCCCGACCACCAGTGACCCCAGGCTGCAGACTGGCGGTTCGTCCCGCTAGAACTGACGCTCCCTCCTTTCTTCCCTCGCTACTCTCACTCGCTCGAATTAACCCTTCCAGGCGCTCTACCCTACTGTCACACTCCCTCTTACGCTCCTTACTTCCCCCAGCTCTTCCGCCTGCTTCTCGAGGCCGACCCGCTGCTCCCTCTCATGAGTAAGCTGCCTAGTCAGTTCCTCAATCTGGGCCTCGAGACCCAACCGCTTCTCTTCTTCTACCTTAAGCTGGGCCTCAATCTCCCGAACTCTACCATCCCATTCCCCAGTAACCTGCTCAAGCTTCACACAAAGCCGACACTCAAAACTCATCACCGCCGCCGCCGCCTCTAGACTCCCGAAACCCGTCTCGTCCAGGTAACACCACCTCCCACACCCCTCGCACTGCACCAACTCGTCCCCACCCTTGTCATGTCGACCCAAATCTAGACCCATGTCCAGACCGGGAACAAACCGTCCCTTCCTGCCAAAAATTCAAACAGAGCCTACTTTGCGAAACTAACTTCAACTGCTGCTGTTCAAACCGGTTCAAACCTAATACTGCTACCGCATAGTCACGTCCAATCAACTCTAAAAAAAAAAAGAGAGAAAAATTACTCAGCCTGACCCTGCCATCTGGAGGCAAGCCATTTAACCTTCTTTAACGCTACGCGATAAACAGCGGCTCCGAGTTTGTTCTTTTAATAATAATAATAAAAATTTTTATTTGCACAGATTACGTTATAGTCTCGCGGATTGGTTTTCGATTGCTCCGTGATGTGCGGTTGACGAAAGAATTGTGACTCGAAGAACAGCAAAAGTAAGACGTAAAGGGCGCGAAGTAGCTGGGTACCGCAGTCCAGCAGTGAAGCCGAACACTCACGAGACAATGACCTAATGCAACTCGGTAGGGACGATTATCCAAAGTACTTTCGAGATGCACGGTTGGACGAACAGATCTAGAGTGGCGTCAGGACGGTCGAATGCGAATGCGGGCTCTAAATGAGGTCATTGCCACACTTGTATTATAAGAAAAGTCCGCACGATCGGCAACTCGCCCTTCCAGCAGTGAAGCCGAACACTCACGAGACACTGACCTCATGCAACTCGGTAGGGACGATTATCCTAAGCACCTTCGGGATCTACGGTTGGACGAACAGATCTAGAGCGGCTTCAGGACGATCGGATATGAATGCAGGCTCTAAATAAGGTCACTGCCGCACTTGTATTACAATAAAAGTCCACACGATCGGCAACTCGCCTGCTCCAGCTGTGAAGCCGAACACTCGCGAGACACTGACCCAATGCAACTCGGTAGGGACGA